CATTGTTCAGCAGAGACAGATGGCTGGTTCACTACTACTGACATCATCCTATCAGTATCACAGGCTTGTTCTAATGCTGTGAGGAGCTTGTATCCTGTTTTAGGGTGGCTCTTTTCCTTTGCAGGGTCTTATGGAGCCACCCTTGTGTATGCCAGTAAGCTGTGTGTGGCTCCACAAACACACAGGTACAGGAGGGCATTTGAGCCCTCTGCTCCCCAATCCTCCCTCCTCTAAGCTAGTAGATGGGCAGCTGCTGGAGACTGAGCTGTCTCATGTTATCTTGTACTGGACAGAAAGTCATGAGAACTGTAAGTGCTTGGGCAAAAATATAAAGAAATACTATGCAGGGCAATATATATATTTGATATGGAATAATTATTGATAAAAGTTTCAGAGTTTAATACTACTTTAATTTTAGATTATTTGTAGTGGAATTTGTCCAGGCCGATCTTCTCTTGATCACAGTATTTCATTGGTGGACATTCAGCTTGTCACTAGTGTTTGTAAAAGCAAACTTAAGTACGGTATACACGGTTCGATTTTTGTACGAAAAGTCGTTTTCGGGAAAGTTTGCTTGAATGTCTGTTAGTATGGTACAATTAACAGACAAAAATGACAATGTTCCAGAAAATTATCCAAGGAGCATTTTGAAAAATTTTCTTGATCGAAGAAATTTCTAACAGTCAATGTGGTTTTTGTTCGGAAACTCCATCATTCTGAAATAGAATGTTAAAAGCAGAAATTAAATGAAAGTTTTGAAGGACAATCAGCAAGATTTTGATGCCAATATCCAACGTTCCGACAGCAGTTTTTTTTTTGTACAAACGTTCGTGCAAAAATCTTACCTGTGTATACTCTGCTTAAGGGTATCTGATGGCACTCCAAAAACAGATGCACATCCTTTTACTTCCTAAAAGCAGGACACGGTAAGTGGGTAGAACTTCAACCACGTTTTACGTATAACTTTGCTTAATCATATGAATAAGTGCTGCTATGTGTGAAAGGCTTTAGAGATTCTGCCCACTTGCTGTATCCTGCTTTTACGAAATAAAAGGATTTGCATTAGGGCTGCAGCTAACGATTATTTTCATAATCGATTAGTTGGCCGATTATTAAGTTCGATTAATCGGTTAATCGGATAAAAAAGAAAAAAAAAGGCTCCAGTGATGGACTACTAACATTCATTTTTAGAGTGCCATACTGCCATCAGTCTGGTGTTTGCTATTGTATACTGATAATGTCAACCAGATTGTCTGCTGGAAGCTAGGCTTCCAATATTCCTCCTGGTGTAGTCCTTCACCTGTCAATACACACACTTTTAAGTGATATTGGTACTTGATGCATCAGGGTTGATTTTGTGTTTCGGACTGGAGAATCAAAAATGAGCCCAAAATTGGATATGGTAAATGTGAGACCTGATTGGTTGTTGTTGGCCCATTTTGTGCTATCATCGTCTCTTCATAAACCCTACAGTTGTTATGCAGCCTGGGCAGGCATGCACACTCTGAAGGGGGTGGAATTTTGATAACCTCACTTTCCTTGTTCATTGAAGGACACCCGCATTTCTTTCAATGGAAGGGTTACATTGCCACCTGCAGGAGATCGATGCTAGACACAAAAGATGAAAGCACCGCCCTGGGGGTGGCCCCTCCTGGTGGCTCATCTCCCCACTAGCTAGAGTCAGCCTACTCTTTTGCCTAGCGTGGAGGAGTAAGGGCCTAGCTCCCTGTTGGTATCTTCTCTCTGGTTTTTTATTTTGTTCCTGTTCTTTTTAAGTGGTTGATCTTCAATCAACACCTGAGCTGGGTGACAGGCTCGACGATTATAGATCCTTGTAGTCTCCCCAGGTCGGCCAATGAGCGCATGCAGAACTTAGCCAAGGAAGCTGGTTCGGCTGCGACAACCTCTTTTCAGTTTTCAGGGCAGCCAATGAGGTATCTCCCTCCAGAACAGCGCAATGTACCATCGGCTATAGAGGAATCCAAATCCCAGCAATACATTATACAGCGCAGTGTACCATCGGCTATAGAGGAATCCAAATCCCAGCAATACATTATACAGCGCAGTGTACCATCGGCTATAGAGGAATCCAAATCCCAGCAATACATTATACAGCGCAGTGTACCATCAGCTATAGAGGAATCCAAATCCCAGCAATACATTATACAGCGCAGTGTACCATCAGCTATAGAGGAATCCAAATCCCAGCAATACATTATACAGCGCAGTGTACCATCATTCTCCCTGCAGTCCCCGGCTGCCCTTCCCTCCTCACACAACACACATCTCCGTGACACCCCTTAGAGGGCTGACAAAAAGATGATGCCAAGGCAGCTAGAGGATGTTCTTGTTTTGTAACATCAAGGAACGGAACTCCTGCAGCATCAAGAAGTTTGTAACATCCCAGAAGAGTTCCCCTTTACTATCTGGAAATCATCTGTGCAAGCCTTGCTTGGAGAAAAGCCGTTTAGACCCATCTTTTGCTTATTGAACTTTGGACTCTTTCAGAACTCATAAATCCAGGACTGTTTGGTGGGTAAAGGGTTAACTGCGGAGTTGCCCAACCCTACTGACGATCGTTCTGTCTGCTGGCCTGAGATTGTTGTCCCGCGAGCTGGGAAATCTCTGTGCAGGGTGAGGCTGGGAGTGGTATTGCCCCGTCCTTGTGATTGCTCTCTCAGTGCAGAACTGCGTATTGTCATGGGTGATTGACGTACAGCAGTTTTGGGCCGGGCGCACGTCACAGGGGGGTGGAGCCACCCGCAGGGGCCACCCCCAGACCTGTGCTTTTGTGTTTTGGGCCTAGCGTCCTTCCGTTGTTTCCAAGAACCAGCTGCACTCCTTACGGTCACAAACTTTCAATGTTGGTGGTGCTCATGGTGATCACACGGATGGCGCTGTGGAAAACTCGGGTTAATCTCAGTGGGTCACCGGCAAACGCACAGATAATTTCCCATATCAGATCTGTTTATTGAGGAATGTCACAGCATGTCAGAAGCTAACGTTTCGGGACCTCGAAGGGACCCTTCATCATAGCGACATAGTGAGTGTCACTATGGTAATTATCTGTGTGCGCCGGTGACCCACTGAGATTACTTCTCCTGCAGCTGGCGATTATAACCCTTCCGTTGAATAAAGAAATGGCTGTGTCGTTCAATGAACGCAGAGAAAAGGATTTTACAGTGAGTACTAAAAAAATCCTATTTTGTCCTGCGTCTCCCTCATCCCCTCCTATAAAGCCCCGGCTTGGAATATCACATCTGCACTGAGAACAAAAGTCAGACATTGGGTTATTTTTACCACACCAGCTGAATGTTCAGATAAGGCTGATGGCAAGACCAGTACTGACCTCTGGTACAAGGGGCAGAGCAGAGATAGTTGCAGAGAAGTGGATGGTGAGGTCATACAGTTCACATGTGTTTTGTGTGACAGAATGACTAGCACAATTCTACACATTCTCTTGCATTTAGTTCTTTTGGTTTATGTATTGGGCTTCATTCACACTTGTGTGTTTTGCAGAGATCTGTTCGCAAAATCTGTCAGGCTCGATGCTTTACGTGTGTATACATGCATGTTTTTTTTTTATATGCATGTCTTTTGTCCATTGAAACAGCCCATTGACGTTGCCAATTACATTTTCAGCATATAAATGTCTACATGCGTTTGTGTGTTTTTGGTGCATTTAGAAGTTAAAATTGATTCCCCGACGCACCTGACTAATAGTTTTTCTAAACACAGACTGCAGATAAAATATCTGAATGCAAAGTGTGACTAGATCCATTGGAAATTATTAGATGCATATACAGGTGAAACTCGAATAATTAGAATATCGTGCAAAGTTCATTTATTTCACTAATGCAACTTAAAAGGTGAAACTAATATATGAGATAGACTCATTACATGCAAAGCAAGAGATAGTTCAAGCCGTGATTTGTCATAATTGTGATGATTATGGCTTACAGCTCATGAAAACCCCAAGAACCCCAAATCCACAACCTCAAAAAGTAGCTTATTACATGCAATCAATAAAACAAGGATTGTACATAGAACAATATCGGACCTCTGAAAAGTACAAGCATGCATATGTACTCAGTACTTGGTTTGGGCCCCTTTTGCAGCACTTACTGCAATTACTGTTGCACGATATTCTAATTATTCGAGTTTCACCTGTATATGCGTTTAGAAAACCATTTTAAACGCATATAAATGCATCTAATCTCACCTAGTGTGAATGTAGCCTAAGGCTCTCTGATGCTTGCCATTTGAACAGACATTTTTGTAGCAATGTCAGCCAGCTACAGAATGTGACACTTTCTTTCTCTTCACCGGCCCTTCCTCACTCCAAGACACAGTGACGTGGGGTCAGGAATGGCACTCACCGGGCAGTGTTAACATTCTTTAGGTGGCACGTTCTCTTTGCTAACTTAGAACGTAAATATTTTATACCTTTCATAGTTTCCATTAATGTACAGTACGATTCAGGTAAAAGTTCTAGTCACCTCTGGGTTTTGAATTTACTGTCACTTTCAGGCCGGTGACAATGATTAGAAGTACTGACGGTAGATATGTCCTTGTGCATATGACCCACCTGCAGTGTCCCTGTGGGTGATATGACATAACCCCCACCATGATATGGCACAATGTGAAGTTCCTTGAACATGATCCGATGTGACCCACTTGGGCTGTCCCGATATATGACATCACATGACCCTCCTATTAGTGAAGTGAATGCAGTAATGGTATGTATAAACATTTATGGAGAATTGTCAGTATGGATTCACTTGAATGAATCATGCAGCGTGGTCTCTGATATCTTTATGAATTGCTGTCATGCTGCAGCTCCATGTCGCCCCTTGCTCTCCCCCTCACACGCCCCTCCCCCATGTGCCGGCTTTGAGCTGTGTACGTGATCCGCCGCTCCCCGCTAGTGGCGTCCGAGGTTCCCGCCCACATTCCGGTGACGTCACTGTCTTGCTTTATACTGGATCGGCCTGGGCTTTTTTTTTCCTGCGGTGCCGGTGACCGGGATATGGATCTGTACCAGGAGCCAGGTATGTGGGGGTCACCGGGTGTGAGTGTAGTGCGGTGATGGAGGGAGTTTTATGTATCGGAGGGCCGTTTATGTGGCACAATTGCCTGACTAGATTTTTGCAGTTATCGGTTTATCCTGTTTAGTTTTTCCTGTGTGATGTATTTGTCAGTTATGTCCTCCCAGGGAGGTCAGAATGTGCTTTGCCTGGGGGCCAAGACATGGACAATAGACCTGATCTTGTGCTGTGTATTGTGTCCGGATATTGACATTGACTGAGACTCATGTGTTGGTTGACAGGCAGTAAGATGGGAGGACTCTGCTTTATGTATGGTCCTCAGTCTCTTTGTGTCACAAGCCTGGCCGCAAGTCATCAGGACACCAGCTCTGTCATGTTGGCTTCTCCCTGATATCATTTCAAGATGCGAAATAATAGATTTAGTAGATTCCCTCGCTTAGAGGTTCCTTGTTATGAGGCGTTGATGTGCAAAAACAATGCAATTGTCCTCGGGGATGTGTTGTGTGCAAGCTGCATAAACATGAGTGCACGGTTTAGTTGTGAATGTTTATACTGTGTGAGTATATTGGAGGAATCCGCTGTGCTGACTTATGATGATCATATTGGTGTATGTGTGCTGGACCCATAGACCGGAGATTACAGATATATATTTTGAGGGCTCATTAACACTGGAACATGCATAAAAATGCAGGTGAGGTGCGTTGATGGTGTTTACATTTGTTTTTATGCAAGTTTCAGTGTTTTTATGTGTGTTGATATCTGTTGATGTGCACTCTTGTATGCTTTCCCCATATTTCTAGTGTCATCACTTCCTTTTCTCCCTTGCAGGTTGTGCTTCCTTTCAGATGCTTTGTATTTATGTGCGTTTGTGATGTGGAAAAATGCAGACCTGCCATGTGCTTTTAAAGTAATTTTGGTTTGTGATGTTTGGCTTTTAGGGGCTTCAGAAATGGTCATTTTACATTTCTACACCTTTGTTTCCGTTTCAAACCTTAACCAACAAGTTCAGATTTACCACAATCCACGTGTAGTCTCTCCTCTAACCCCTTACCCTAATATAAGCTTCAGCCTCCCTCACTCAGGTGTTTACCTTCCCAATGGTGGCCTGGGCGGTCATTGTGTGCAGGGGTGGGCAGCTCCAGACAAGATTTCATGGGCTTAGGGCTTGTTCACACCATGTCCGGACCAAAAAAGCATCCCAATGTATCCCTATCCCTGGTATTTATTGGCTCTGTTCACAACAGCACAGTCTGTTCCGGTCCAGACGATAACAAAATACTGATTATCTCATTTTCTCTGGTCTAGAACGCATGTAAACACATCAAACCGCATGCAAACTGCACCTGAAGCCCATTTTAAGCTAATAAAAAAATGCACCAGAACGTGACAAAAATGCATTGGGTTTGCAGATCTGCTTCAGACATGGTGTGAACATAGCCGAAGGCTGTAAACCCCAGAACCGGCCACCTATGTCTAGAAAAAGTAAGGAAGCGCCATAGTGGAAGGAGCCATGGCTTAGCCTAGCTAGCCTGGAGGGTGCTGCAGGGTTTTTAATAAACCTGCACTTGTCCTCTGAAGTTCATTTTCTTCTTGAAGTGTAAACAGCCTGGAATTTCCTCCTAGTTTAGGCCTCACAGCTGGAAATAGCAATCTGTATCAGACTGCCAGTCTCAGCACATACAGGTCATGTAATGTTTGTTGTGGACATAAAATGTCTATTACCCTTTCTTTTAATAGCGCAGCTTCATATATATGAAGCTTAGGAACAACATTTGACATTTCCTTGTGTAGTGTTTACATTTCTGTATTTTTGCTGTGCTAGTTAAAAGCTCAATACTTTTTTGGGTGTTTGTTAAAAAAAAAAAAGCTGTTTTCGTTAGATATAGTGGTGTACGTCGTTTGACATGTCCATGTTAGTAACAGATATACAGGGAGAGTCTTATCTTTTACAGCCAGTATAAAGTGACGTGTAGCTGTGCTGAGTTTGCAGACCGTGGAATGATATTCATCATCTTCTGCTGTCTGTGATTATTCATCATTTTCTTCTCTTGGTTTTTTTTTGTTGTTTTTTTTAGACATGCCAAAAGAAATGGATTTGAAGGAAGAACTTTCCTGTGGCCAAGATCCGCTCTCTAAATGTCTTCAAGCCAGAAAAGAATTGGAAACTGCAATCCAAGCACTACTTAAAACAGAACAACAAGTAAAGGAAAATGGCAGAGAGGTATTGTGTTCACATTCAGACTTCTGCCAATACTAATCTAACTCCGTGATATTTTTGAAGCTTATCTTAAGAGTTCTCTCAGATGATTTAGGTAATTTAGTAACTGTGTATTCACAGTGACCTGACATGGTTTATAGTTTCACAGGATAAGCTTTTTTTCCTGTTTGAGGCTATCATTGTGTTAATTCTGCTAATGCTATTACAAAATTCAAAGCACATGATGGAATATAAATGAGAGCTGAACTGGTTTTATTAGTTACAATATCTGACTGTGTCTGATTAAGTCTTGATTAATATCAGTTACAAGTATGGCTCTCGTTTTATAGGATTTTCCTAGGCACTGATGTTGATACACTGACATACTTTTAGAGCAAATGGGTGAGGTGATTGAGTTGTAAAGGCTGCACTCTCCCTTCGGCGGCAGGCGTCTTCATAATGCTGGTCAGATTTGTACTTAGATTTGTATAATATGAGTGCAGGGAATCTGCAGCCACTTATAACGTACATTTTATGAGAGCTCTCAGGACCTATTTGTGTTTTACAGTGCAAGTAATGTGTGGACCAAAAATAAAGTGGCCCAGGAACTTTTAGCCATAATATGCCATGCACAGCATATTGGCAGCCTTACCTGCCAAAGTGATCCTTTCTCCAGTGCTGTGATGTCCGGGCTCCCTTGCAGGCGATTCTATCTTTGTCCCGGTCTTCTTCCAGGAATCTTTGGCTGTTTGGCTCCTATGACCTGGCTTCAGCACATGTGCATGGGAGTTACTTCTTTGCAAGAATCCTGCTGAGCCTGTACACTGAGCTGTGCATGCAAAAAAATAAATAAATGCTAAATGAGCATCTGTGACAGAAGACACGTACACAATCTCTTCGGTCATATTAAGCCTGCCTGTTGGCACTCTTTAAAATATGTCTTCTGCTTTGAAGCCCATTTCCACCTTTTTGCAGAGGTATTTAAAAAAAAAAACATGCACACAGAGTGTACATGAAGCAGGAATATGCAGTTGCTGTATATGAACACAGAGAAACTTATATTTTTTTATATCCTCCTGGAATGGCCACCTGTGTGCTCTGTCTGCAAGCAATGTGTGTATATTAGAACTGGGCTCTCTCCCCTGGTGTTTAGTGGTCATGTTACACAGAATCACAGAGGGGGAGGCTGTTTATAGCCTGCTTTACAATCCAACCTCGGTGTCAGATGGAGTTTCCTGTGGAGGAAAGTTTCAATTAAAAAATGAAGAAAACCCGTAATGTGAATCGTAAAAATGTGCCCACATATACATCATCACTACACCTCTACATTACCACAATAAATGTTAATCCCTTACAAAGGAGGAAATTGACTTTAAAATGGCAAAGCTTTAATGTGCAGATATTTGGAATTTCCCATGTTAGTTTATGTCACAAAAAAATCCTTATGCCCAAAATTGAAGTTTCAGGTGCATCATAAATGTATAATAGGTTTTATTAAAAATCTACTCCCCAAAAAACAGTAGTACTTGCACATAAAAGCCGGCTCCAATCGCCAAATCTAAAACCTTTCCTTGTTGGCCTCCCTGGCGTAGACTCCCTTACCACAACACTAAAGAAGATGGGAAGAATTGTCCGGGAGATAATGGAAGGAGCTTTCCACCAAAGAACATATTGCTGCACTTCCACAGCATTCAGGATCAGGGGACAGTAATGTTGGAGCGATATGTTGTGTGTAACAGCTGGCTGATATTGCCTATATTGTCCAATAGGAAAAAGCAAGATTATGCTTTATGGGTACAAGTTTTTCATGGGGAATTTTTGTTTTGTTTACATTCACCCTCCCATACACCTCTGATGTCATGTAACAAATGGGTTGTTGAATTTGGTTTGGCTTCGTCATATCGCCATTTTCCACCTCAGTGTTGCATGTAAAGTAAATCTTAACTATTCTCATTTTTTCCCCTTTGAGACGATACATGTGCTCCAGACTTACAAATGTATGTGCTTTGGTGTTCTAAATAACTAGTCCCCATGTGATTATTTCATTGTGATGTGTAATAAAGTCTGAAGGTGATCTCTGCATGAATTATAGGAAGAACATGATGGTCCTGTGTTTATAATTAACATTGCCACTTGCAGGTTAAAGCCCAGATCCAGTCTTGTGTTAGTCGTCATCTGGAGTGCATGCGCAGCCGGGAAATTTGGCTCTTGGAGCAGGCTGACTTGATTCAGCAGCTGAAGGAAGAGGCCTTGCAACAGCAAGCTCAGCAGCTGTATTGGGTAAGTGTCACCTAGCTTCACCGAGACCAGGGGTAGGCAAACTCCAGCTGTGGTTAAACTACAAATCCCATCATGCATCTTCCTCTTGGTGTCATGCCTATAGCTCTCAAAATCTTGCAGTGCCTAATGGGATTTGTAGTTGCACCAAAGCTGGGGGGGGCGGGGTTGGCCTTCCCCAAAAGTGGATGGTCTTTACTGATGGCCGGGTTTGCAAAATCTGGTTAAGCAACTGTTTTAGGTACATGTTCATTATTACATTGTTAATGATAGAAATGAGACCATATTTATTCTACTTATTTTTATTAAGCTGAGCACTAGCCTCGTTTTTATGGCTCAGTAATTTTCTGTCCTTTCGCACTGGTTATTGGTCAAATGTTTAACAATGGCTGCCTGTTCTCAGTACAGAGGTGCACTCCTTTTAGCTCCCTCATCTCTCCATAAGTTGCAAAGTGTCTCATGCTGAGCACTTTGTAATAACTCCCTCTCTACTTGCACCCTTAACATTTAATCCTGAAATTAACCCCTAAAACATTTTCCCCACTAACTGTATCACTAAAACTGATCTCTTTGACTTGTTTCCCTTGACCCTAACTCAACGTTAACCCCTTAACTAACACCCGACATTAAACTAACTTTGTTCTGTAGATTTACCTGCTCTTGTTATGTTGAATCCTAAAACTTGTACTGAAAGATAAATGCACCCAACTATTTAAAGCCAAAATATAAGAGCATGTGTGGATTTGTCACCTGGGGCAGTTGGGCCATATATGGGCTAACTAAAGAATAAACAAAGCAGTGTCTAGGAAGACCTTCTGATGATTGTAAATGTGCTTGTGATCTGTCCTCTCTTCCCCCCCCTCCCCTCTTTGGCTGGTATACATTGCAAAAGTGAGGGATGTCTGTTGGTTATCACCCTTAATGAGTTCAAAGTGCACACTTTGTCTTCTAGGAACTAGGTTTGTCTAATGCATTAATTTTTGTTTCAGTTGCTGGGACAGTTCAATTGCTTGATTCACCAGCTAGAGACCCCTCACAGTAATGACCTCGCCAATCAGATCACAGTTTGCTTAGAGAGGTAAGTGGTATAGCCTAAATAGCTGAAATCATTAGGACAAGTCTCCATTCATACACTTTTTGGCAAAGTTTATTCTAAGCCTGCAGCCAACTGTAAAACTTTCATAGTTTTCATTACCTATTTTGAGCCATTATCCTTTTAAAATGTTGAAGCCATGTGGGAACTGTAGTTTCTGTGTAAACCTTCCAAAGAAAAGCTCCAGGCAAAAGTGTTCTTAAACCCTGAATTGGGGCTACCCCTGCACTGCAAGGGTTAAGTGCTGATTTTTGTCTAGGTGCTGGAGAAAAAAAAGTTTACTCACTCGCATTGCCGAGCCGACTGCCTGCTTCTCCGGTCACTGAAGCGTGTCTCCTTTTACAGTAAAGCATCGGAATGTTCCTAGTGTATAGAAGCAGTTATGGTAGCCCCACTGCAAGGGTTAATACAAATTCTGCCCAGAGTTTTGTCGACACAGGTCCATGGGGGTGTCGAGCTAATTTGAACGTTTCCAGGAAGCATCAATGTATACTTCATAAATCTTGTAAATGAATAGTATTACAACGTTTTTCGCTGTCCTGCTTTACAGCAATTTTAGTTTGTAGCATCGGTTCTGTTTATTTAATTTGAATATCTGTTGACCTCGATTTTAATAATCTTTGGTGTTTTTACATATTTTTGTTTTAGGCTTTCTGCAGATTTGTGTAGATTTGCCTGAAGTGACACGAGCTTACACATCAATATGAGGGAATAATTTCCAGCCATTGATATCTTGGTATTAGCGCAGTGTCTGCCACAGCAGCAGCTTGATGGTGGTTGGGTGTCCATTGTACAATATGGTGTCTGCTAGTACTTCTCCCAGTATGTACAGTACAACACAATTCACTTGTTTGTACTGGTTCTCTTCAGCTGCCCACCTCTTCGCCCATATCTTTTGGCTTTTAATTTCTGTTCTCCAGCTGGTTCCTAACCAGGCCTGCTAAGAGACATCTAAAACTGTAGACAAAATCGAGGGAAATGCGGGTGAGTGAGGAGGACTGGCAGAAATTGTATTTATGTGCCCTTCCTCTACCACATATATCCCTTCCACAATTTGTTAGTTAATATGAACATTCTATGTGTTATTTTTGTTTTATGTATCAGGCTGGGCAGTCTTGCTCTGAAACCTGAAGAAACATCCACTCTCAGTTTTGAAGCCGATGTCCCTTCTCTCCGGAAAGCTATTACTACATTCGGATCAATTAAAACACTGGTAAGAGCATCACGTGAATGTATTCAATGCCTGCCACACATACGTCTCTTTTGACGTATGTGTGGCAGGCATGAGGTTGAGGTGAAGAGGTTGAGCGCAGTACACACTATGTGATCACCTGACACGGCAGTATTGTATAAACCGTGCTTTGACATGAAAACGGTCTTTCCATAGCTTACTGTTAAAGGAGAATTATGAGGAGTGTTTTTCACTCAGCCTCATAATCTGAGCCGACCTGTGACAATAAAACTGTCACAGGTTGGCTCAGTAGATCGGGAGGTGAGGGAACACATACAGGCGCTCGCTCACTTCTCGATTCTGTCACTGCAGAGAGCCGTGACGGGAGTTACTGGATTCTCCCCTGCTCGCGGTATACTGCGGCGTCTCAGTTACTGAGCCTAGGGTGACGGGAGGACGCTACTTTGTGTCCTCCCGTTACCCTTCGGAGAACTATGGGGAAAAGCCTTAACCCCATAGTTCTCCTTTAAGGCATTTGAGATGGACAAATCATGACAGTGCCAAATCTCTTTGCGGCCATACAAAAGAAATATGTCCAAGCTAAGTGAGAAAACAGTCATGTTATGTCTTTCTCTTCACTTTTCTGACTATTTAGAAATAAATGCACGCATTTTTAACTTTACTGATTTATTTTTTTCCCGATTTTTTTTTTTTTATTTTGTCACCCAGAATCCCTGGCTTCTCAACAATTGTTATGTTCCCCCAGTCGATGAGGTATATTAACTTTGTAACACCTGACGTAATCTCTAAACTGCTGTACGTGAAATAAAATAGGTTGTTGCGTGATGGGGCTGACAGAGTACACTTGCATTTCAGTGATAGAAGTATGTCACTTAGGCCTCATTCACACACAACGCAAGCAAAATTGTATATACGAGCGTATATGCGTGCACTATATGCAGTCCCAGAATGCATCACTCGTAATGGAATTTTTTATGTGCTGTATGCCTATACGCGCGTAAATACGCTTCCCTGACGCATCTCTGTTCCATTCTGTTTTTGCGCATATATACGCTACGCAAATATACGGCTCTATACGCGGCTGTGTGTATGGAGCCATTTATTTGCATATGGTACAATACGCACGTACACGCACATACGTGCGGCAGTGTGAATGAGGCCTGCACATATTTGTTCCAGGTCAGTCATCATTAGTTATAAATGAGAATGACAGCACTGGAGTATGCACTTTCTAAACTTAGCGTGTAATTGTGCCTTAAAAAACAAAAAAAAAGTATTGAATTATAATTGATCTCTGGAATGTATTATGAGCAAAAACAAATTAGAGGTTTATCCTAGGTAGAGTTTCCCATAGTAGTAAAACTGATGTAGAGCAGCAGCCTAGGAGATAAAGGATTGAATGTAGGGGTAAAATGTATACACTTTGAGGGACATTTATTATTTGTCACAAGGCGAAGCAGTGCTAAATAGGGGCAGTAAGACAGATTTATTACCAAGTTACAGCATCAAATTGTTTCCTCACCTGCTCTAAAGTAACACTGCGACAGACTAAAACCTGACCCTGACCACTTCCTAATTTATATGTCTGTTTAGAGATGAAAATCTGTTGCATCTTAAGTTAGAAATCGGCCTTAAAACTTTGCAAACTATCAAACTTTGCTGCCCAGCAAAACAGACCCACAGGTCTGTATGCCGGTGTCAGAGACATTGCTGAACGAGAGGCAGTCTGATTTTGTGACAAATTATGTCACTACTAAGCTTGATAACTGTCCCCGTGTCTTTTACTGTATTTTGTCAGCCGCAGCAGTGTTTGTACTGGATGGTCGGGTCCTGAGGTGTAGAGCCTCCCACATACTGTAGGGTACATATACTTAGTGTGATCTTCTCTCAATTGGGCTTAGTCAGTGAAGAGTTTGCTTAAGGGAAACTTGGAATATTACAAATTGGTTCAGTGTGCTTACAGGTTCTTGCCATGAGAGAAATATGTAGGCAGATGCTGCCGACCTCTCCTTCTGGAAAAGACTAGTTCCTCTTCTGTCATGCTGATGTTTTGGCTTCAGCACTTCAGACCCAGAAAAGTTGGAGAGATCGCAATGATTGGACTAATGTGATACATGCTTGTTGCTGTCCTGTGACAGATATTCTACATTAGGGAGTGGATGATATTTAAGAGTCTGTATGCATTTTCAAGTCATTTCTTTAGGTATAAGCAACATAAAGAGCAGTGTCCACGTAGAACCATTCCTTAAATGATCGTGTTAGGAAGGTCAGGAATTTATTGTTGGTGGTAGATTTTCAACATGGGCTGTATGACTAGACATTTCATAGGAAACAGTTTGAATGATCAGTAACCTTTTTGCAACGCAATTGTGTGATGTCCTGCTTGGTTAAGAAACTGGAAATGTTCTTTTCAGAAACCTTATTCTGGGGCTTTGAGCACGTCTCTATCTGAATGGCTGTTGGAGGACAAAGTCGCCAGCATTTCTTCATGCCCTGCTTTGGACATTCCAAGCACTTCTCCACAGGATTGGCTTCTAAAATCTGACATCACTGGACATATTGAGGTATGTTCTGGGTAAAACAAACTCTTTTAATATCATTTTTAACAGAGCCTTCATGATTACTAAAGGAAACCTGTCCATATAGTAACCAGAATTTGGCATTGCTACTCAGCCATTAAAGGATCTAACAGTCATTCTTGTGCTTGCTCCACTACTTAGTTACTGAGCTTGACATAGTATGACCTCATTGAGGTCCGCACTCCAACCTGCCCAGTCAAAGACTTGATAGATTCTGTAGCAGGATGAGGTTAATTGCTCTGAAGATTAAAGTGATCTGTGATCACTGTGCTAAATGGGCAGCATTGAGGGAAACGGGTAGTAATAGTTCTTGGGCAGTATCCTGGAACCTTGTGCGACCTAATCTTTTTCCAGTCTCTGATCAAGCCTCTTCTGGCTCCCTTATTGGTCCAGTTCTATGATGAGCAGCCTCATGATCAGGTAGACAGGCAGGGCTAATCTCTCAGCCTCAGGAGCTGTATAACATAAATGCCTCAATTGTCAAGAGGCATTTTACAGAACATAAAAGCATACTTGCCTTCTGTCACTGTCGCTCATTTAGTACTTTTAAAGTATATTTGCACTTTGTGAATGTGAAGGGACAGACTGAGTTTACTCTCCTTAAAATACAATACTTCTAGATTGTTAACCCTTTGTTAGGAAAGTTTTGAAATCTAGTTTACAAGTGGTAATGAAATCTGTCAGCACAGTACAGACAGGGTTAATAAGAGTAAAGAAAGCTTCTCACAGCCCCTCCTTAACATCACACAGAGGGGAAGCTAGGTAGGATTTCTAAACATGTAGAAAGCAGTTTTTGAAATATTTATTTTCCCAAGTCATGCAATATGAATGGAAACGGGTCACACATATAAAGTAGGTGAATCTCAACTTGGCTCAAAAGTGAAACCACTTTAAAGAATTAACTTTATGGCCAGTGCAGATACCTTTTCATTTAATATCCCAAACAACTGGAGATTGACTTGATAAAGTAATTATAGGGTCAGCTGTTAAAAGAACAGCTTGTGTTGGGTAAGAAAATTGCTCATCACAAACTATTGTGTAAGATATATTCCAAAAGAAAAAAAAATTGTCTCCAAGCCGCTCCCCTTCTCTTTTGTAGGTTTATTACCAGCGCAAGGGAGGGGCACAATCGGTCATTAATATGAGAACCTTGACACATTTCCCACATGCAAGTGCTTACTTATAAGGTCCATTATGGACTTTAGTAAGTACTTTCACATATGAAACGTGTCAAGGTTTTCATATTGATGACTGTTGTGCCTCTCAAGCTGGTAATAAATCTACAATTGAGCAGATGAGCAATGTGGACCATTTTTACTTGAACATCTATGTGGTGCATTGGGACCAGGCCAGGTGTGGGAGCCACGGTCTGCAACTACCATGGTGGATGATGCCTACTGGTTTCCATTGTGGTAGTAGTGGGTTAGGCGTACAAACTATTGTCAGGATGGGAGTCTTGAATATCCAGTCACCATGAGTTGTCTGTAAATAATTGGCCTGCTCAGTTAAGCTGCCAAGTTACTTTGTATTCACAAAATCTCCTGTTTACTTCTTTCCAATTTACAGTGTTCAGAAATGCCTGGACCACCCACATTTGACATGGAAAAAATCTGGGGAAAGCTAGGGGAATTGCACAATTGGTTGCTACAGTCCCAGAACAAGGAATCTTGTCCTGAGAAATCTGGATTGCGCACACGTGACAATTCAGAGTCCAGCTCTTTCTCCTATGAAAAAGTTGATGACATAGAGTTCGATTTGGAGGATCAGGAAGAGATGGATCTTTCAGATTGGCTCATTTCCCCAGCCACTTCTGAAGAGTCTAGCAGTGACGTGGACAAGTGGAAGCTCATCTTTCAACCATTTGTTCAGGACTACAGAATTAGTGATTGGCTCCACAAAGTAGAGTCCTGCGGTAATTGCTGTGGTGGGAATACAGCTGCTTTGGAAATAGAAAATCTTGGGAACCTTCTATGCTTAAATGAGCAGCTTGGAGGGAAGAAGACATCTGTGTCCAATAGTGAGATGTGGCTGCTGAAGGAATCTCGGCCTGTTTTTAAGATGGAAGAAATCTGTAAAGCTAACGAACCCTGCTCTACCTTCTCAGAATGTGTTTGTGATGAAAGCTGTGAGAAAGACGCTCTAAGGAAGTGGCTTTTGAAAAAGGAAGGGAAAGACAAAAATGGCGTTCCTCTAAATCCAGATCAAATGGCCAAAGACGAGGAACATGAAAAGTCAAAACCTTCCCTAAATATGTGGCTGCATCCATGCAAAAGAAATTCTGGAGACCAGGCTTGTAGCAAGATGGAAGAATGTAATCCCACCATTAGGCATTTTAGAACATTGCTTGAAACACCTTTGGCCGACTGGGTTGTCAAATCCATTACAACAGAGAAGGCAGAAAAAGAGATGTCAGACAGTAAATGGAAGCCAAACCCCGCAGAGCATCCCTCTCCATTTTACTTGCCTCTAGACACTGGTTGCTGGGTGTTGTCCTCAAAGAACATAGATAACGTGGAAAAGTCAGAACAGCCTGCACTGGAGGATAAATGGCTCTTACGTAAAAAAGCACATGTAAGTATATTGATAAGACATTTCACGAAGGCAGATCTGCCTGCTTGTTAGAGACATCAGCCAACATTTCTAATATTTCTACTGATGCTGCCTCCTAAAATGAGTTCCTTTCCTTGGATATTTTGACTACTGTAGAAGAGTCTGTGTGTAATAATTAACTTTTTCCCAATTAGGAATATTATGGCCTTCCCAGTGTCTGTGACCTCTTTGCCTGCATGAAGCTAGCAGCAGACAAGGACAAATGGCTGCACCGCACTCCCTTGCAGGTATGCACACTTTTTTTTTTTTCCTTCGTTTAAGAGAACATTGTATTGTAATTTTATAACGGAACAGGGTTGCATGGCAAAATCTTTGGGGGTCACATAATGCAGATATTTGCATAGTATTGGCCTCAAACATTTACCTGCATTAGGGTACAGAATATTTGGGTGTTTGATTTATCTGCTGCCTTTTTTACTCTCAAAATCCATTAAGATTCCCCAGAATTAGTTGTGCCTCTGCCTCTAACATATTTTGGGCCACAATGAGAATATTGCACACTTGCAGCAGGGAAACGTTTGGCAGAGCAGCAATAGTCTGGTGGGGATATTTCCCCTCCTGAGATATAGGAAACCAACCTGTGATTCAAAATACCTTTTAGGCATGCAAAACTGAAATTGTAGTTTTGTGGCACTGACTTTTAAATCTTTTTATTTATTTTGTTTCAAATATTGATCTAGTGTAATCAGCAATGTCATACCAGCACGGGACAGCCAGTTGACAATTCTCTTTAAGGTGCCAGTTTACAAAAGAGCTGGAGAAGCATTGCTTCAGAGCAAAAGCTTTTAATTTGGTTCCAGCAATCCTCACATGAGTACAAGGTGACTCTTTTGTGCTTGCCAGACTGCAATCTTAAACTACAGCTTCAAATGTCATAGTGAGTAAGGTGGAAAAATCTTAAAACATTGCAGATAAAAGCACAGAAAAATCCTTTTCCCCAGTCATCTTCCAGGACAGCCATCGAGATATAGGCTCCGCCTGCCTGCAACAGGAAACACATCAACCACATTAAATAAATAGACTCCTCCTTCCATCCCAAGTCAGTTTAAGTATCCAGGTGGCATCCAAGGTGGATGAAGGAGGGGATACTTTTGTGCATGGGGTAGCCTTCGGTCCTAGAGGTTACTGACTTGGGATGGAAGGAGGAGTCTATTTATTTAATGTGGTTGATGTGTTTCCTGTTGCAGGCAGGCGGAGCCTATATCTCGATGGCTGTCCTGGAAGATTCCTGGAAACAGAGTTATCAGGTAATCAACTCATGATGACTTTTTTTTACTTAATATATATTTATTGTCAATTTGTATATACACATGAACAAAGAAAAACAAAAATAATTCCAAACAGTTCTACAATCCAAAATAGCTCTACAACCCAGTAGCATTACCCCCAATTGGATATCTATTCCTAACCATCATTAATTACCACGTCTCTGCCAAATTTTCTTAAAATATTACTCAACATTTTCCCTTCCTATCCTTCTACTTGCGCAGATACCAACCACACACAACAACAAAAATATAATTTCCCAGCAGAGTCTCCAATTAATTTTAGTATCTTAATGTATATTCAATCCATCTATCCCATAAGAAGTCTGCATGTCTATCATAAACACCTGACATAAGTTCTTCCATTCTCATGATGTAATTCATCTCATGGGTCCACTCCTTTTTATATTAGGAACCTGCTTTGACCTCCATTATCTGGGGATCACTGCTCTACCTGCTTCCATCATAAAACCTATTAAATAATTTTTATGTCTTAATTGGACCCAGATAGATGGACAGTAATGCAGTCTCTGCCGTCTCAGGCCATTCTACATGTGTAAGGGGAATGCAGGCAGATATTTTAAACAAGTGAGTAAGTTATTCGGGTCTCTTCTTTTCAGTAAGGTAGAATCCCAGTGATGGAGTTGGAAGTATCTGAAATGTTCAATCTCCGTGATCCGTTTATGTTCCCGCAGATTTAGCCAGGAGGGTATGGTAGGGGATGAAGATATTTTATTTGAAGTATACGGACAGCTATACCACCTTATTAGAATTTTATAGTTTCTCTCCTGAACCTGATTTGCTATACTATTCTTAAAGGTTATTCTAAAAGATTTCTCCCGGTTAGTTTCCGAGATGGTGTATCCCAACTCTTTCTCCCAATCTCTAGTATAGAAAAGCACTTGTGGAAGTACATAGGGTAATAAGATATGATATATCTTTGATATATTACACTTGCCATCAGGTTTATTAATACATATATCTTTAAATGGACAAAGTCTCCTACAAATTGTCCCTTGCAATCTAATATAAGAGTAAAATTGCTCAAGTTGAAGATATGAAAACCACCTACCTGGTCTATGTGTTCCCCTATCTGTTTGAGTTTTGAGCCTACAAATATCTGATCACTTTTTTTAATAGACAATTTTTTTTGCCCCGTGTGCAATAAGGACCCCTGTGTGCAATAAGTCTCCCACTTAATTGGGGACGCAGTGGAATCTTCCTGGTGATCCACCAAGAAGTTAGCCACAACCTCTTTTATAGAATCATGGAGTGTGTTGTGTTTGGGTTTTTGTTTTAATAAATGTATTTTTATTCACTTGCAGTGAGCTTTTCACCTTGCTAGAAAATGTTGTTTGTCCTGGAGAGTCCATTCCCTAGCACATTCCCCTCCCTCCTTGCACATCATATCCATCTCCTGTTCTGGAAGCTTCTAATTACTGTGTGGGCCATGACTCTCTACCCTCCCTTCACCCCCCTACATAACACTTTATGTAGCTGCCAGGGAAGGAAAAATGAGCAATAAATCTATAAAGTGCCTATTATGAGGTTGGTGACATAGCATCCAAAATGGCAGGCTTTTGGAAGTCTACACAAGGGAAGCTTTTTATCTGATAATTAACATGTCCAAGATGCGTTAAATGCCCATATCTTGTAGGATTTTTGTTGAAGTGAATGGTCTGGTGACAGGGTCTCTTTTAACGCTAGTCATTGATTAGACATTGCTCTGGCAGTTGTTTTAGCTTTTAGTCACACAAAGCATTTATTGGATCCAAGCAAATCTACCACCAATAGTTTAGACCATTTTTAAGGTTTCCATAAAAATTGTTGGTGGTTATATACCGCCTTGAACTGACAGGACACTTTTGTGATGATTGCTAATAGACTGGAAGTTGCCTAAGGCTGGGTTCACACCTAGGCGTATTGAATATGCGTTTTTACCGCGATTCGCGACAAACGCGCGTTTCCGAGGGCTACTTGGCTGTATCCCAATGGAAACGCCCGACCAAAACGCCCCAAAGAAGTACATGTACTTCTTTGGGCGTAGGGCGGTTTCCCGCGCGTTCGTACTCGCGGAAAAACGCCCAGATGGGAACCATGCACATTGAAAATAATGGCATTTCCCTGTTTGAGCGTTTTTCCGCGAGTACGAACGCGTGGAAAAACGTCCAGGTGGGAACTCGGCCTAAGTGTAGAGTTGATGTTAGACTGACATATGTCTGCACTGTTTAAAGGGTGCTATATTTGTATGCACTTGGTATACCGAAATGTTCTAGGAATGGGTGTTAAAAGTACTCCTTAAACTGGTCATAGAGATTGTAAGGAAACTTCTTTTGTATTATACACTTTGTGAGTCAACTTCTTTTGTACTCCAAAAGTACATTGCGTATTGCATATTGTTTGATACTGATCTATTCTGCAAGTATACTGGTCTGATTTTATATAGAGCAATAAAGGTCCCAACCTAAAATAATCCAATGTTTTGTTTTTGTAACATTGTTGTGACTGTGGAATGTGCTGAAATGAAATGTGATTCTGAAATGATCTCATTGCAGATGTGAAGCACCTTATGATCTCCAAACCTTGATCAACCACGCACACAGAAATCGTAATGGAAAAGACTTCTCCGCTCTTCGCCTGGGTCTTTTTCCTCAGGATTGTTTTCTTGCTCATAACATGTATAGAAATGTAACATGTAACTTAATCTCTAAATTGAAACCATTTTATTTTTCAATGTAATCCTATTTCTGGGAAATTCCCTTTTAATTAGCAGTAACAAGGACAGTATTTTTATGGTGTGGTGCTGTCATAATGGAGTCTGACATTTTCTGTATGTCTGAGATCGCTTTTTTGTTTAAAAAAAGGCATATTATGGCTGAAAACAGCACTTCATTGTTCATTAGGAGTAGTCTTAGCTGTGGTCACTTTTAAATGACTGAACTGTAGGCATATATATTATTAAGCAAGTACCCAAAGATGCCTACATGTTGTTCCTCACAATGTCTCCACGGCAGCTTTAATATTAAACTTACACAAAGCAGTTTCAGTAAGGCCTTTCTCTTCCATCTCATATTTCTCACTATTACTCAGTGAAGCAGGGTCATCATAGTGATGGAGTAATTAGGAGTCAGGAGGGTTATGCTACAGATCTCCGGGCTTTAGGGCTTTATGTAAAGTGAGAACATGCAAGCACTTGGAGTACATTATGTGCTTGCACTTTAGTAAAAGTGAAGGTATGTTGACTTCACTAGGAGTGCACTAGTTATTAAATCTCTTCACTACTGACAGATTTAACTACTTGTTGGTACATCACATTAGAGGCACACTGATTTTAGTGTGCTGCACATGAGGAAACGGTCATCATTCATTTGGTAGCAAAGAAATGTATAAGTCGGTGTCAGACGGAGGCTGAAGTAGCAATTTCAAGCTTTTAATTTTACAAATTTTTTAAATATATTTTAGAATCCCAGTTCAAAAATGAATGCTTTTGATCATAGGAGTAGGCTGGAGGATAGACACTTGAAGTACATTTTTTTGGTGCTGTATAAAATCTACTATTCTGGGTTTCACACAAGATAGAATGTCATCTTGTCTGTAAAAAGTCAAAGATGTATTAATTCCTTGAGATGCATGTGGCCTCATTGCCTTGTGGTGCTTTGTGATTATCCTGTGTAATAGTTCATTCTGATTTTTAAATACACCTGTACGCTTGCTTTAAAGGATAATCACTCTTTTCAATATCAATTATCACTTTGTTTTCACTGTCTGGCCATGCAGTGTTCAGCCACATGCACCTTGGTCCAGACCATGCATCCTGGTGTCTTCAGCACTGCAGGACACTTGTAGTTCCTCTATTACCATAGTATTTGTTTTATGTTCTGAAGAATCACTCCTGTAGGTCTTCATAATGGCTCATTTGGAAGGGCAATGCTGGGAATGGCAGTGACCATACCCAAGATAGATTTAGATTTTTTTGCTCTATCCCTTATGTGCATTACAACATGCCAATCTCTGTAAATGGTGATCCTTATGTGACACCGACAGATCTCGCCATTGGCTAACACCACATGTATGAAAAGGTAAATGTTTGTGTTTGTCACCAATTGCTCAATTTAGGTGGTGTAGAAAAATAATTGCACACTTAAGTACCATTTGATTCAGATTTGAACAGAGATTAAATAAGTTGCTCTTACTGAAGTGAGCCAAAAGTGTACTTTTAGGTTGTTTTTATGTTTTAATTGCTTTTAGGGTATACTTTTTAAGTTACATTTCCCGAACCTGAATGAGCAGGAGACATTAATTTAATCTTATTCATTTTAGCATTTTGCACAGAATGATGGGAAAGGCAATCTATTTTCAAAACAATTGTCTTTTAACACTTTATATATTAAAAGATCTTTGTTTCCATTGCTTCCATAATCATCTTGAATTAACAAATTAACCTATATATTTTTATTGATTACCTATTTGGAAGCATTTATTTTAGTTAAATCTTTTATGTTTAAATGTGCTCATAGTATTGTTACCCATTTGCCTTCAGAAAAACCATGAAAGAAATGTGTAGTTTGATACAACTGAGTCTTGGTATTCCCAGTCAGAAGGTCTGGTGGATGCATCTGTTCATCTGAATTGCCCCAGTGTGTCATCCCTGGTGTAACGCATTATTTTCTTGTGACTGTGCCATCATACATTGTAAATCTTTTAAAGGTAAACATGTGGTTAATCAGTCATTATGGGTAACCTAACATTCAATATAAAATGTACCTTTTGTTTTTGACAATTAAAGAATTTGGAGCAATATATATGACTCTGTGTAGTATCTTTTTTATTTGTTTTGGTATCCCCTATAATGCTTTTATTTCTAGACATTACATTTGTGTTTTGAGGGTACATTCACATGGGACACTGGAAGGAAATATCTGGACCATTTGAGTGCTAGCCTGTGGACATTGCCAGGCCATTTTTCAATGCTGTGATAATTTGGCAAATAATGGGGATCGCAGTATCGGGAATAAACTGTTTAAATTGAGCAGTCTGTAGATGACACGTGGACACAAAATGGCGTTGGACGATATGTGGTTTACTCTGTTGCAGTTACTGAAACCTGGCTTCAGGAATCCGAATCTGCCTCTCCTGCTGCCCTCTCCCATGGTGGCCTCCACCCCGGCTTCCACTCAATTTCTTAACCCAACCTCTTCTTTTGATCTAACTCAATGGACGCACACTCCTACTCACTCTGATGGTAACACTTGATCTTGTGTTCTCTCACCTAATGCACTTCTTGCAACCTCTCAAACACCCCTTTCTCCACTCTCAGACCACAGCCTTGTCAGTTTCACACTCGCCCTGTCCCCAACCCTGAATCCCCCTACAAGGCACACTGTAACCCAGAGAAACCTCCGCCACCTCAACCCTTCTCTACTCTGCTACTGACTACCTCTATGACAAAATCTAACCCCTGCCCTGGCTACTTCTGTCTTCAACAGCTCGCTCTCATCCTACCTAGACACCTTAGCTCCCCTCACTAGATGCAGATTTAGACCATGTCCACTACAACCATGGCAAGAAACCGGACCGCTAAAAAGACATAGCGGCACTCTTGAACAACTGGTGGAAAATTAGGTCTCTGCAAGACTTCGCCCTGTATAAAGCTGCCCTCCTAAAATAAAATTCCTCCCTCTGTGCTGCCAACATACTTATTTTGTAACTCTTATTAACACACTCTCATCCAGACCTAGTCAACTATTTTCTAATTTTAAGTCTCTGATGTCCGCCACAACCCACTCACTCACTGCCCAGGACATTGCCATTCATTTCAAAAACAAAAATAGATACAATTCTGGATCAGATTGCCACTGTCCAATCAACTTCCCCTATTAATGTACCAAATCCACCATCACATTTGTCACTTTCCTCTTGACTGTCACAACAGAGGAGGTTACAAAGCTTCTCTCTGACACCCCTCGACCCTGTTCCCTCACTACTACTTTGGTCACCCTCTCTACTGGCATCTTTCCTTCCCCTCTAAAGCATGCGCTGGTCACCCTAATACCCAAAAAACCCTCACTGGACACTACCAACCGCAATAATCTCAGACCTATCCACTTACTTCCATTCACCTCCAAACTACTAGAACACCTTATCTACAAATGTCTGAGCCACCACCTTGCTCATAACCTTCTGGACCCCTTACAGTCTGGCTTTCACCCCGTACACTCCACTGAAACCTCCCTCCTAAAACTCACGAATGACTTACTAACTGCCACTACTCCTTACTCTTGCTATTAGACCTTTCTGCTGCTTTAGACACTGTTGACGACCCACTCCTGAAAAAAAAAACTCCACTCACGTGGCTTACAAGACTCTGCTCTCTCATGGTTGTTCTACCTAGCTAAATGTGCCTTTAGGGCCTGTTCACACCAGATGCACTGCGTTCTGGCTCACTTTTTTTGTGGGGCAGGAGGGCCCCTTCGGCCACAATGTGATTGGCCACACGGGATCACAAGGCATATGCCTGCGGTCAGATCCGGTGCGATCAAAACAAAATTCTGCAAGCGCTATTTTGATTGCACCGGACCGCAGGCATAATATCGCATTGCGGCCGGAGGGCATGGCTACGGTGCCATTCATTTCAATGGCCCGCCACGCCCCCTCCTGCCCCACAAAAAAAGTGAGCCAGAATGCACTGAATCTGGTGTGGGCGGGCCCTAAAGGCGCATTTAGTTAGGTAAGAGGAGAACCATGAGAGAGCAGAGTCTTGTAAGCCAAGTGATTGGAGATTTTTCAGGAAGAGTGGGTGGTCATCAGTGTCTAAAGCAGCAGAAAGGTCTAATAGTAAGGAGTAGTGAGCTGGCCGCAATGCGAGGCTGTGCGTTCTGGCCAGAAGCGGGTCAGAATGCACTGCATCTGGTGTGAACAGGCCCTTAGTGTCACCGACAAATCTAACTCCTCACTTCCTCTTTCTGTAGGGGTCCCCCAAGGCTCTTTCCTTGGACCCCTTCTCTAAATAACCTCACATGGCTTCTAATACCATCTCTATGCCGATGACACTCAGATATACAGTTGTGCTCATACGTTTACACACCCTGGCAGAATTTATGTTTTCCTTTGCGATTTTTCAGAGAATAAGAATGACACGAAAACCTTTGTCACTCATGGGTAGTGTTTGGCTGAAGCCATTTATTATCAATCGACTGTGTTTACTCTTTTCCAATCGTAATGACAACAGAAACTACCCAAATGACCCAGATCAAAAGTTTACATACCCTGGTGGTTTTGGCCTAATAACATGCACACAGGTTGATACAAAGGGGTGTGAATGGCTATTAAAGGGAACCGTCCTCACCTGTAATCAGTGTGTGTGTAATATATATATAAAAGGCCAATGAGTTCCCGGCCTCCTGACAGACCCTCGCATCCTTCATCCAGTGCTGCACTGACGTGTCTGGATTCTGAGTCATGGGGAAAGCAAAAGAATTGTCAAAGGACCTGCGGGAAAAGGTAGTTGAACTGTATAGAACAGAAAAGGGATATAAAAAGATATCCAAGGAATTGACAATGCCAGTTCCAACTCTAATCAAGAAGTGGGACATGAGGGGTTCTGTTGAAACCAAATCATGGTCCGGTAGCCCAACTAAACTGTCAGTCACAACTGCAAAAACTCGCAAATAACTTCAGGTGAAATACAGGACACTCTGAAAACATGTGGTGTGGCTGTTGCAAGATCCATAATAAGGAGGCACTTAAAGAAAGATGGGCAGCATGGTTGAGTCGCCAGAAGAAAGCCATTACTACACAAATGCCACAAAGTACCCCGCTTACAATATGCCAAACAGCACAGAGACAAGCCTCAAACCTTCTGGCACAAAGCCATTTGGAGTGATGAGACCAAAATTTAGCGTTTCGGCCACAACCATAAACAC